GTTAGTTACTGTTAGTTAGTTACTGTTAGTTAGTTACTGTTAGTTACTGATAGTTACTGTTATTAACTGTTATTTATTGTTCGTTATTTACTGTTGGTTATTTACTGTTAGTTAGTTAGTGACTGTTAGTTACTGTTAGTTACTGTTAGTTAGTTATTTACTGTTATTTACTGTTAGTTACTGTTAGTTAGTTAGTTACTGTTAGTTACTGATAGTTACTGTTATTAACTGTTATTTATTGTTCGTTATTTACTGTTGGTTATTTACTGTTAGTTAGTTAGTGACTGTTAGTTACTGTTAGTTACTGTTAGTTAGTTATTTACTGTTATTTACTGTTAGTTACTGTTAGTTAGTTAGTTACTGTTAGTTACTGTTAGTTAGTTAGTTACTGTTAGTTACTGTTATTCACTGAGCGTCAGTGTCTAATTATCTAATTATCTCATTTAGGCAGGATCAGCCTCATGCTTCACTCACAGAAAGGAGAAAGTTTGTTAATTTAAACGCTGACAGCTCAGGTCTCTGTCAGCGTTTAAAGGCGGAGTCAAAGAAACTTTTTACACTTYCACTGAGAAACTACAAGTTATCATCTGGAGCCTCGTGTTTCAGCTCGACTTCTATCTGAAAGGGTTTTTGTAGAAGCCTTACTTAATGTTTAATTAATGTTTTGTATTTGTTCTGTTGCAAAAGTAGACAATCTTACTTTAATTATTTTGTTTAGTATTTTATTCAAACTTTAATAGATTTAATAAACTTAGAGTGCCGGGCTCTTGAGGAGACAGTTATTTATTTACAGGCAGTGGTCTGTTATTGAAGRTTTTGAACTGTCTGCACCTGAAACAGTCTGATAAGAACTGTGTTCAACTTCAACGTTTGCAGAAACTCCTGATCACCCAGCAGCTGTTGGAGCAGAGAAACAAGGGAGACCYGCAGGACAGTGGACCACCCAGCTTAGAGCCTTTAGCTCCTCACTTCTGTTAGACTCCGCCCACAGGTGATCTGAACTTCCTGCTTGACCTGCAGGGGTGGAGAAGCTCCAGCTGTCACAGCTGATGGAGTCGGAGGACAAGACGGAGGACGGGGACGAGCTGGTCTCTCTGGACCGGACATCACAGGAGGATAAAGACCCAAAGCCTCAGCTTTCACCTGTCCCCAGAAGGTAAGCAGATGATAAGTCCCCTGATCAGACCCCTGATCTGACCCCTGAACAGACCCCTGATCTGACCCCTGAACAGACCTGATCTGACCCCTGAACAGACCCCTGATCTGACCCCTGATCAAACCCCTGATCTGACCCCTGATCTGACCCCTGATCAGACCCCTGAACAGACCCCTGATATGACCCCTGATCTGACCCCTGAACAGACCCCTGATCAGACCCCTGAACAGACCCCTGATATGACCCCTGATCTGACCCCTGAACAGACCCCTGATCAGACCCTTGAAGAGACCCCTGATCTGACCCCTGATCTGACCCCTGAACAGACCCCTGATCAGACCCCTGAACAGATCCCTGATCAGACCCCTGAACAGATCCCTGATCAGACCCCTGAACAGACCCCTGATCTGACCCCTGAACAGACCCCTGATCTGACCCCTGAACAGACCCCTGATCTGACCCCTGAACAGACCCCTGATCAGACCCCTGATCTGACCCCTGAACAGAGAAACAGTAAAGATCATTCAGACCTTCAGAGCCAGAGGGGTCCAGGTGTCTTGAGTCTGGTTCCTGATGGACCGGGTCATGGATGTGTTCCAGCTTTGGACTTGCTCGTCCTCTGTGGTCCTTTTTAAGGTTTGAAGGTTTTTGGACACTGTGGGGTTCAGGAAGAGGAAATCATTCGACTGAAGTCATAAAACCTTTAGATTTTCTGTCTTTACAACAAACRTTTCTTTCAGGAAAACAAACAATCGTTTTAACTGATAAAAACAGTTTTTATTCTGTTACAGATTCTCCTGAACAAATCAAATGTTGTATTTTAAAGATCAAAGAGTGTTAATGATATAAAAACAGGTTTAATCTGGTTTCTTTCTTGTATCCAGAGAACAAACATTAGTTTTGCTTGCAGACATCTGAAGCTGTGGATTTATTTAGTTTTCAGTCACAGGAAACAAGTGAATGAATGTGTTGTTACAGATAATTTAAAATGACATTTTCCACAGAAAAAACTCAATCTGTCTCTGCCCGAGGCTCAGAMCTCTGCAGGTTCAGTGGAATAAAACCATTTCCTTCTGATTTATGAGTGCCAGGGCTGGAACCAGTCCTGCCTGTCAGGACTGGAAGGCAGCAGAGACCCAGAAAGAACTGAGAGACAGACGGCTTCAGTTAGAGCAGAGCAGGAAGTAGGTTCACATCCTCAACCCTCAGGTGGACTGAAGACTAAAGACTGGATCAGAACTGGTCCAGATACACAGGAAATGTTCTGGACTATAAAGGATCTGCTGTCTGACTCTCTGCAGAGGACACAAGACTTCCAAAGGAGCGAGCACAGTCCAGAAGAACCCTGGAGAAGAACGGGTCCAAGTCCAAGAAGAAGGGACCAGATATACCAAGACCTCCTGAGGTACGTCTGCAGACCTGCAGGGGGCAGCAGACCTCCAGATGCCTCACAGCCTGGAGAAAAAGAGGAGGAGTTCAGGCTGTGTTCAGAGCAAAGCTTCGGCTGCTTCAGCTTCAGAGTTTCAGAGAAAAGACTCTGAGAGTCAAAGTCATGAAGGTGGAACTTTTCTGTCTTGGTCTTGTGTTCCAGGAGGTCCTGGAGGACCAGGAGGACACCAGAACCAACCCACAGGTGCAGATATTTGAACTCACTACAGGAAGAGACGAGG